ATTTTGTGATGGTCCACTGCTGTGAATAACAAAAACATCGATGCTGTGCGCCGTATGATCAAAACAGACAGGCATGTGACATACCATGATATTCTTAGGCATCTTTAGGCATAGGCATGAGTCAAATACAATCAATACTACACAAACATTTGAGTGTGAAAAAGCTGTGCTCCCGGTGGATCCACACAATTTGACTGAACCTCAAAAACGGATCGCGTCACTTGGTGCAATGCCATGTTTACCAGATTCAACGAAGGGGCGTCAAATTTTGATGTGGGGCATAGTAAAAGGTGACGAAATATGGATTTCTAGTTATGATCCCAAAACAAAGCAGCAATCGAGCGTATGGTATTTTTGTATTTGCGTTGCATATAGGCGTATTTTAATAAAACTGGACACGGGGCTACTGTTGCTTTGGAGAATCGTTGTACCATGAATAGTGATTGGTACACGACCATTTGTTTGCCAGAAGTTATTGACAAACTCCGTAAAAATAACCGTAAATGCCGTATCATCTTGCACCACGATAATGCCAGTTCTCACACAGCCAGACAGACAAATGAATTTTTGAAGGTGAACAACGTTGACCTTATGAGCCATCCCGTGTACAATCCCGACCGCCAGGTCGGTACCTTGTGACTTTTATTTATTTCCAAAAATTAAGAACCAGTAACGCGGTCCACGATTTTCATCACCTGACGAGGCTGTCGTAGAGTATGAAAAATATGTTTCAGGGATTGTCACGGAGGAGTGGCATAAATCTTTTCGAAATTGGTTCATTCGTATGAAAAAGTGTACTAACGCTAACGGAGAATATTTTGAGAAACAATAAATTCTTTTCTGACCATTTATAGTATTTTTTTTCTTATTCATTCCGGAAACTTGTAGTGCGTCTCATGTACTACTCCTGTTATTACTAGTTCCAAGAATATTTAATAATATGCAATTATTGTCTTCATTCGTTTTCCAAAAAGAAGCACTTAATTACTGCCAAGATATCAAAAAAAAAAAATTTAATAAGACCAGAATCTAATCAGATTTTATAAGAATCATAATTTTCATTTAGAAGAAATATTTACTTTACGAAATCTGTTGAAAATTCAACTTAAATATTAAGTTTATGTAAAAGAGATTTAATCAACTTAAATGCTCCTTTTAAGACAAACACGACCTAAGCATTTTATTAATTTTGATGCAGATATGCATTTAGGGTCGTCTTTTGCGGGTTATGGAAATTTATAATCATTTCTTTGAGGTTTTTTTATATATATATATGATAGGCATTTTTTATTCAAGTGAAATTCCAACATCAAAGAACTAAATTCAGCTTCGTTTAAAAGACATCGTGTAGAGGGAGAATACATATGCTGGGAGAAAAAGTCAACATAAAAACTCCAAAAAAATATTCCTTTTACGTTTTCTCCTCTCTTCTCCATCTCTATAATTTCAATAGTTTTAAAAATGTAAATTAATAAATAATTATTTGTTTACATATTTGCTGTATGTTCATGGTGAAATTAGGAACTTTCTGGGGCATGAGTGTATGGGCTCAAGATCGATAGAGATTAGACAGTTGGTCTTTGAATGGACAAAGGACGGCTATAGATGGTGATGACTTAGTGCTCTGAACTTGTAGGACAAAGTTAACACATACATTTATTTTTATTGAATATCATGATGGCTACGGTGAAAAGGTCTCTCAAAATTCTCTCACTGGATATTATTAGCGGCGACGAATGCCGAAACTCATACAAATCTATAACAAAAACACATAGGAGCATTTTGAGAACTCGGTAACTCGACCTGTGGCTCCAACTCCAACTGAGCCACAGGGTAAGAGCAATGCTACGGTGCAGCATGGTTCAAGTCCCACCGGGTCGAAACAATTTTGTATGTGTTCGATCTTTGTATTAATAATAATAATAACAAAACTAGTGGAGTTGTTCCACAAAAATCTCAAATAATACATCATGATGATAATCATTCCATTTTTTGTAAAATTACTCCATTAGTATGTAGTAATTATTAATACAAAGATTTAACATAAAGAAAAATTACTTCCAACCTGCGTCTGATCCAAACTGAGGCCACACTCGCAGGTGTCACTTATGGCGATAAAAGCCGAAAAAATCCAATACAAAAGATCTGTAACAAACACTTAGATAAATTCGTAAGACTTGCTGACTTGATCCTAGCTCAGTTGGCAGAGCGGTGGCCCTGGTTTGACACAGATGTGGGTTCGAGTCAGTCGAAGGATTTTTCTTTATTTGGATTCTGATTGATGATAAACTGTATTAAAAGTCATTAAGACTTTTGTGAAAACAATTTTGGCATAGTAAATTTTTTTGTCAATCGTAAGTTGTCCATAAAAATGTTTTTTTTTTGTGCTGATTGACTCAGTTTTATGTAAGGATCATATCAAAACAATCGGGAATGCAGAAGTTGGTAAAATTTCATAAAATGTTTTGAACACAAAATGAATAAAACTGACTATTTTTTTTTTATTACTGATAGATTCAGTTGCTAATAAGGACGATACATTGTAGAGAACGAAAGAAATCGGGGCAGCAGAATTTGATCAAATTTAATAAAATGATTTTTCATAAAGAATGAAAAAAATTGACTAATTTTTTAATGAAGATTTTATTGTATTGAAAGAAAAGAATCGGGACAGCAAAAGTTCGGTTCGGTCGGACAGTCGAGGTTTGGCACAGAAGGCCCCAACCAGTTCCAAACCCATCCCTGTTCCTAAGGCCGTCGTCTCGCAGTTAGTACAGGGCAAAGCGACGTCAAAGACAAACGAATTAATATTATTATAGTGAACTAGAGAGCTCTTAGATCGAATAAGGAGTTCCTCCCCTTTGAACCGAACCACCAACTTCGAAATCGTAATTCCGTTTCTGAGGTCACGACACAATAGTTAAGTACCATCTGGAGTAACTGTTATTGGAATAGTAATAGTTATTATAAGTATATAATAGATAACGATATATTACTCATAACATTAATGTTATTTGCGAATTAGGGAATTACTGCAATTATCGACACAGAATAGCCATTTCCGAGCTGTAAGCATGTAAATGTGGTGACACCCTTAGATTTAAAATGCAGAGTGCAATTTTATGTGAATTGGGTAGTTTTTATTATTTTTGGTTTTTTATAACATAAAGTGACGGGACGAACTAGTCGTGCACATGATGGTAAGCCACACGCCTGTACATAACAGGTCCAGTGTCACTTAGAGCTTTAAGTCGCAAAGATCTGAGGGGCCTTGCTAGTGCGCCCGTCACCCTGATACATAAGTTGACAAGTCCCATATGCCTGTAATTTCACCAGCACCCTTACCCTTCAAGACTGGAACACAGTAATGCTAACAATACTGCTTGGCGGCAGAAGTAGGTCAGGCAGTACTTCCCTGGACGAATTCTATCACAAGGAACTCCACTGCTACTAAAAAGAACTTGTTAAAGAAAGTATAACAATATTGTTATATAAATCCGTTAATGCCGTAAATGCCTGCTTTTTTATTATCTAAATCTAGCTCAGTTTTAAGGGTGCTGGTGAAATTTCAGGCACATGGGATTTGTCAACTTTATGTCTCAGTGTGACGGACGTAGTCAGATTTTTGCAATTTAAAGCTCTTGTTCTTATGGGCATTATATCTCTCTTGTTAAAAATGTGTTAATTAGTGCTGCAGTCTTATGTCTTAGTTTTTCTGAGCACAAGAAATTAATTTGAAATTTTGCAACATGGCAAATGTCCAAATCTTGTAAGCATTTGTAGCTCAAAACATTGTACAAAGTGAAACAAGTGCACTAAAATGTTTACGTGTATAGAAGTGTAATTTGCCCAGTGACGCGTTGTTGTGCCAACCAGTAACCAGAATTGTGAGAAATTGAGTGTTGTTGAAATTTTAAGGAAAAATTTTAAGATCGTGTAGAGTCTCAACTATATAGGGTGTTACAAAAGACGCTAACAACTTTAGCCAGAAATATAAATCTTGTGAAAGTTCGTCTAGGGAAGTACTGCCACTTTACCTATCTCTGCCGTCAAGCAGTAATGTAGCATTACACCGTCGGTTTTGAAGGGTAAATAAAGGTGCTGTTGAAATTACAAGCACACGGCACTTGTCAACTTATGTCTCTGGGTGAAGGGCGCAGCGGCAGTGCCACTGCAACTGTTATGGGCAGGCGTGTCGCTTACCACCAGGAGCACGATTCGTGTTCGTCCCTTCCCTTAGTATCATAGAAAATATAATACTAGTGTTTTTCAAATAGTGGGCTCCAAATCCACTACTGGCAAAGCAGTTCAAAATGGTTTACGATAGTCTCTTAGTTAAGTACTACCTACTTTAGTGCTAATTCCAAGATCAGTGATGGTGAACGGTCAATCTAATGAGCGCTTTAACGATGTCAATAAGACGAAATATTAAAAATTTTTATTATACCGGAAATGTTTAATGTTCTCATTTAGCACTAAGATTAATTTTTCAGAGTATAAGGCTCAACTCACACTGGCGCGCGCGAGTCGAAGCGCGTCGCGTCCTGTTTTCCAACTCCACCGCCAGGCGACGTCGACGTGCGAATTCGCTCGAATACTACCAAGCGTCGACATTCGACAAACGTTGAAAGTGCTTTGTTTTGCATTGAGCTTTGACGCGAGTTTGCCGGAGATAGAAGTTGTACTGGCCAGCGATTCCATAAGTGACGATCGTATTGGATTTTATTTTTGAAAATTTCGAATTTTGAACAATAAATGCCGACTTATTCAACGTATTTATGAATGAATACGAAACTGGATGAGCGGAGAAACGTCAAAACGGTTATCACAGCGTGCCGGTACTATGGTATCTTTCCTAGTTACGATTGAAAATTACAACTCATATTCTTTAACACCTTGTTTTGTGCCTTGTGTTTCCCAAACTCGTCGAATTATCTGCTTTAAACACGGGCACGTAATACTAAAAAATTCTTAACTAGAAAATCAAGAAAAGTACTTACAGTAGTTGTTAGGGATGAGATCGGGTTCAGCATCATCATGCTCGGGCACTTTGGGCACATCCCGCTGTACAAGCGGCGCTGGCGGTGGCTTGCCGTGTGGCGCGCGTCGGCGCCTACGCAGCGAGGCCGCGCATGCGCCCGCTACAAGAGCGCAAATCGCGCCTAGCCCGGCAGCCATTGCGCCGACAAGGCCACCAACACCAAGTGGTGCTTCCGAAGCTGTGGAAGAAAAATTCGTGTTACTAGATGTTTTGATCAATGTATCGCTCTGCTATTACAATAGTGATGTAAATCTAAATATGTGAAATTCAAAATTATACTATTGCTGAGCGTAAAATTTGAATCTTTATGCGTCAAAATGAGATAAACTTTTTGTGACCTAGTTCTGGACAAATCAGTCCTTAGGCCACAAATTCGCAACAGTGGTGCGTTCAGCAGGGCGTTCAACGTTTGCGCCTAATTGAGTATTGTGTTGAATGTATCCAACACAAGAAACACGTACGCGCGCGTACCGCTGAACGCAACACCGTTTAAATTTACGGCCTTACTAAAAACATTAAAATATTTTTTATCCTTTTTGTTTTTAAAAATATTTGTCAAGTAGGAAATTGTTTACATGTCTGTAAGCTTCTTATGGGCCTCTCTAACAGCGGACAATGGAGAGAGCAATGCTCGGTATTCCCCTACGTGATAGAATCAGAAATAAGGAAATCCGTGGGAGAACTAAGGTAACCGAGATAGCTCGAAGAATAGCTCAGCTGAAGTGGCAATGGGCGGGGCACATAGCCAGGAGAAGCGATGGTCGTTCGGGCGGAAAGGTTCTATAATAGTGACCGCGCACCGGAAGACGCTCAGTGGGTAGACCCCCACCAGGTGGACCGACGATCTGGTAAAGGTCACGGAAAGCCGATGGATGCGGGCAGCGCAGTACCGATCGTCGTGGAGATCGTTGGGGGAGGCCTATGCCCAGCAGTGAGCGTCGTATGGCTGAATGATGATGATGACATTTCGGACCGTCATTTCTCGGATTTGGAGTTGATACGAATAGGACGTAGTGCGCAACGCTCTTATGAACTTCAACTTATACATAATTTTTATAATATTTCACGGGAAGTGAGTAATTCATTTCTCATCGATTCTAAAAAAAAACACTTTTTTAGTTATTACACTATTGTATTCAAAGTGTATTCGGTATTCGGTGTGCAGTGGCGCATAGTATTAATGTATCTCTTTCACACGACGCGAAGTCATACGTTTTTTGTGGAACATTCTCCGAACAAGATGTCTAGTATATTCTTTTGGACGGAGGGCACGCATAATTTTATTAATACGAAATGACCGGCAAATCTTTTGAGGAAAACGATTTATTGATATCTTTAGTGGAACAAAAGCTCGCTTTTTTTTCATCGTTCCTCAAATTTTCATACAATTTTTTAAATGTGTTTGTACGCACTGCTTCTTGATTCATTGGATGAACACAATACATTCTATTCTTCCAGCGGCAAAACCGGTGGCATCTTCCATGCCAATATAAAAGTGAAACAAAACGTGGATCCATCACAGACGTGTTCTCAGGGCACTGCAACTGTGTTGCTTACCCCATAACTTGTTCATCCCGTCACATTGATATCATAAAAAAAAACTTATTAGTCACATATCTTATGCCCAACTCTACGTCCTAAACACAACCACCTGTCTTCTCAATCCTCAATGCTTTAAACGTGACGTCATTCTGGTATTTTATAGACACGCAGATTTTTACAGCCGTTTTATCATCCTCACCATTTCTTTCCCTTATCTTATTAGCTATATAATTGGCCTTGCGACGCCTAGTGCCATAGATGTTTAAATTCTCTAGATATAACACTGAATATCCAAAATGTCAATTGTGCTTCTTCCCGTTGCTGCTGCTTCAACGAATAATAATAATACATCATAAACGCTCACACTTAGTAGCAGTAAAGGTCCTTGTGAAAGAGTTCGTCCAGGGAAGTACTGTCATCTTACCTATTCCTGCCGCCAAGCAGTAATGTCAGCATTACTGCGTTCTGGTTATGAAAGATAAGGATGCTGATGAGATTACAGGCACATGAGACTTGTCTACTTAAGTCTCAGGGTGACGGGCGTAGGGCCAGTGACCCTCAGATCTTTGTGATTTAAAGCACTGAGTGGTACTGCAACTGTTATGGACAGGCGTGTCACTTACTACTAGGTGGGATGTTGTTCGTTCCGACACTAGGTCTCATTAAAAAAAACACACTCATAGCCTCGCACTAGAAAAACCCACTGTTGCGTGTGCCATGGACACACACATAGACAACCACAATTACACTCAAACTCACGAGGGAAACAAATATAGGCCATACAAATATTTCACCTGGATCGGGAATCGAACCCGGGACCTCTGCGTGGCAGTCCAGCATAGTAACCATTCGGCCATTCACAGAGGCAGTGTTACGGACGGCCGTGCGCGCCTGGCCGGTCAGAGCTGAAGTTCAGACGAGAATGATTAATTCAAGAGCTCTGATTGGCCGAGCGGCGTAGCGACCCATTGATAGGACCGGCACGATGTGGGAGACATCGTGCCGGTATAAATATAAGCTAGTTTTAGTTTGTACGCGCATTCACTTTTTATATTCGCTCATGAAAGCACTTGTTACAATTTCTTGTTTCGTAAGTCAGATTGACATTTTTGTTTTATATGAATATACAGTCCATTTTAAATCAAGGAGTTTTTTATTATCGAAGGAGAATAAAGCAGGAGTTCAGTTTTGCGGGCTGAATTCACCACAGGCAGTTATCCTCCTAAGACCCAGTAAACTAAAATGAGAAAAGCGCTAAACGCTCAATGTATATGCTTCAGGCCTGGGCAAGTATACTCTCAGTTTTGTACGAATAACGTATTTCTCTAGATACCCTATGGTTATAGAAATGTATAGATTTGACGTGATTATATAAATAATATTATCTTGGTCCGGATCACTTCACATGTTATGTACATTTTGATATACATAGACCTTTATGCTAACTTTCCACGGCCCGTGGATTCGCGAGCTCGCGCCAACTGAAGAGTACCGCCCGTACTGGCACAAGCAGGCGTGTATGGGCCTGTGTTAAAAGCAAGCTCATACAAATCGGCGCGGCCCGTAATTTCACAGGCTGTTGGAAGCAGCCTTTTACAAGTAACGAGAAAAAACTTTCATACGTCTCTTACAGGTGGCGTTACGGCAAAAAAGGCTTTTTTTTGTAATATCAACGGACGGGACGAACAAGTCATGTGCCTGGTTGTAAGCTACACCCCTAAGATCTTAGGGGCATTGCCAGTGCGTCTGTCATCCTGAGTCGTAAGCTGACAAGTCCCATGTGTCTATTATTTCACCAGTACCCGTATCCTTCCAAACCAGGAGTTCCTTGGAAGAACTCTTTCAGAAGGAGCTCTACTGCCTATTATAAACCTAACACAAAAGCTCTGAAGTAAGTACATAGAGACACTCAGTTGGCAGGTGGTTGGTGGCTGGATAAGCGGTAACTACGATGAGACAACAGACACTGGTTCAAGATCCAATCGTAACGAAGAAATTTCTCTTTGTGTTTTTTCGATCTTTTTTGATAATGAATTGTCAACAATCGATATCCATTATAATATCATAAATTCATTGGCTATTTGCCATGTCTACGGTTATAAAAAAAAATAGGCGGATTAAATTCAACCGTCCGGAGCGGTTAAAAAATGCAAAATCGATGCGATCGAGTCTCGACGGAAGAGATTAGCATTTTGTATAAAGAGACCGGAGGTAGTTACGTTAATAAGTTAATTGAATGGCACGGGTAGATGTTAAGAATAAGGACGTTTGACTCATTCTGTTAGTATTTCTGAGGACAGGCCATTGGCCAGACGAACGGACTTTCGAATTTATTCTGTGATAAAAAGAATTCGACAGCGGTGCAGTTTCTTAAGACTTAGGTCAATTATAATTGCCTTAGGGCACGTTCCCATTGTGTCATGATGACAGATAATCGTGTAGTTTAAAGTGTCGTGGCTTGTATATTTAAACGAAGTTCTTCACATATAGTGCAACACGTTTAACTGTCGTGACAATGGAAAAAGCTAGAGCGACAGTCGTCTGACGATAAATAAACGTCATGATAAAAATGTGACGACAGATAATCGCAGCTACTATTGTCGTCACGTTTTATTTATTGTCTCATATCTGCAAACGACAAGGTGGCTACCGTAAAAGGACAAATAGTCGTCACGATTCAGTGGGAACAGCTAGGTATGAGAGTCGCTCAACGATAAAAAGTTCACTACACAGTCACGACAGATAGACGTGATACGGGAACAGGCTAGATGCGACAGTCGTCCAACGATAAATAGAACGTTACGACGTAATGGCAACGCGCCCTTACTGAAAGTCCAATCAATATTAGTGTCACAGCCTATCAGCTGTGTCTTCAGCCGAATAAAATAATAATTACATAAATATTAAACAACATCAAATACGGTGCTCTGATCCCAAAGTAAGTACTAAAGCACTTGTGTTATGGAAATCGGAAACATCGACTACAAACAGCCAGACTCGAGACAAAATAGAAAAATTAGTTTTTCTACATTGACCTGGCCGGGGATCGAACCCGAGACAGCCGAGATAACGACACCATGAAAACCGATGTGCAAGCTACTCTACCACGGAGGTCGTTAAATAAACAAGCCAAGCAGTAATGTGAGCATTACTGCGTTCCAGTTTTGAAGAGTTAGGAGTGCTGGTAAAATTACAGGAACATGGGACTTGTCAACTTATGTTGCGCAATGGCAGTGCCCCTCAGATCATTGCGATTTAAAGATTAGTGCGGCACTGTAACTGTTATGGACATGCGTGTCGCTTACGATCAGGCGCGCGACGTGTTAATCACTTGTAAGTCACTTGGCATCATGAATAAAAATATTTTAAGTTTTGTTGTCTGTTTGTTGTTTAAAATGCTTGCTTCGTCGTTTGTTTTAATTTATTCTTTGTTTTGGTGTTTTGGTGTGATGATGATTTTTTAATATATTCTACTGATTTTTTTTATACAAAGGTAAGAGCGCATTTGACCTCCATCTCACCTGATGGAAAGTTACAATGGAGCATGCACACCTAAATAATACCTATTCACTCTCGACTTGAAAAGGTCCAAGTTATAACGTTCGAATGTGGAAGCATAACGCTTCGTGCGAATCT